AAGTAAATAAAATCATTAAAAAAGAAGTAAGAGACAAGCAAATGAGATACCAGAATCCTAACTATAAATTCGACAAAGGAGGAAAGACGATCCACTGGAAGAAAGACAGTCTCTTCAATAAATGGTGCTGGGAAAATTGGTCATCCACATGCAGAAGAATGAAACTAGACCACTCTCTTGCACCATACACAAAGATAAACTCAAAATGGATGAAAGATTTAAATGTGAGACAAGACTCCATCAAAATCCTAGAGGAGAACACAGGCAACACCCTTTTTGAACTTGGCCACAGTAACTTCTTGCAAGATACATCCACAAAAACAAAAGAAACAAAAGCAAAAATGAACTATTGGGACTTCATCAAGATAAGAAGCTTTTGCACAGCAAAGGATACAGTCAACAAAACTCAAAGACAACCTACAGAATGGGAGAAGATATTTGCAAATAACATATCAGATAAAGGGCTAGTTTCCAAAATCTATAAAGAACTTCTTAAACTCAACACCAAAGAAACAAACAATCCAATCATGAAATGGGCAAAAGACATGAAGAGAAATCTCACAGAGGAAGACATAGACAGGGCCAACATGCACATGAGAAAATGCTCTGCATCACTTGCCATCAGGGAAATACAAATCAAAACCACAATGAGATACCACCTCACACCAGTGAGAATGGGGAAAATTAACAAGGCAGGAAACAACAAATGTTGGAGAGGATGTGGAGAAAAGGGAACCCTCTTACACTGTTGGTGGGAATGTGAACTGGTGCAGCCACTCTGGAAAACTGTGTGGAGGTTCCTGAAAGAATTAAAAATAGACCTGCCCTACGACCCAGCAATTGCACTGTTAGGGATTTACCCCGAAGATTCAGATGCAATGAAACGCCGGGGCACTTGCACCCCGATGTTTCTAGCAGCCATGTCCACAATAGCCAAACTGTGGAAGGAGCCTCGGTGCCCATCGAAAGATGAATGGATAAAGAAGATGTGGTTTATGTATACAATGGAATATTACTCAGCCATTAGAAACGACAAATACCCACCATTTGCTTCAACGTGGATGGAACTGGAGGGTATTATGCTGAGTGAAGTAAGTCAATCGGAGAAGGACAAACAGTGTATGTTCTCACTCATTTGGGGAATATGAATAATAGTGAAGGGGAATATAAGGGAAGGGAGAAGAAATGTGTGGGAGATATCAGAAAGGGACACAGAACATAAAGACTTCTAACTCTGGGAAATGAACTAGGGGTGGTGGAAGGGGAGGAGGGCGGGGGGTGGGGGTGAATGGGTGACGGGCACGGAGGGGGACACTTGACGGGATGAGCACTGGGTGTTATTCTGTACGTTGGTAAATTGAACACCAATAAAAATTAATTTATATATATAAAAAAATATTCATCTATCAATGCTACATTTCAGAAATAAAAGCATAATTTTGTTATGTTTTTAAATGTATGTTTGGTTCTCCTTTGTGTTCTAAAGTATTTGATAAGATTTGTTTTTAGGTGTTTACTTCAGTAAATTAGAGGTTACAGGAAATGGTCATAGTGTTAGATAGGAATTTGTGTCTGAGTAATGCAGTGTGATTAGAATTGCTTTCTTATTGTGGGAGCTAGATAATTGGTCCAGAGGAAATGAGATTTCCTGGTGATCAAGCCTCATGGCCACTGTCTGTAGCCCTAGTAGCAAGTATTAACTACCTTCCATTTGAACTTGGTCCTGCTCATGTTATCACAGGGTCCAGCAATATAACTGAGTTAATCACATTCTAGGAAGAGGTAATGTATATTTTTGGCTACTAATATTTTTTTCTTCATTTCAGCAACTATAGAAAACTTTCATGTGGTGGAAACATTAGCTGATAATGCAATCATCGTTTATCAAACACACAAGGTAAAAATCTCTTCATCCCAAAAGGATTTCACTGTAGTTCAAAGTGAGACATGTATAAATTCTCTAAAAGTAAAATTTGGCAGGAAATCAAATGCCGTAAAAGATCCAAAGACTTTGTTAATGATGCATGAACATCACATATTTGAAAGGATATCAGTTCATTCAAAGATGAACCTAAGACAAGAACCTGAGAAATATCCAGAAACAGTGTGTTTGATAAAGATCTCCAGTTAGTTATGTCCACTTAAAATTTAAAAAATACTGAAATCCTGTTAAATATTTTTGTAGCGTCTAGTCTTTATAGGCGATGAGTGATCATTACCAAATACAAAAGTGAATCAGCATTTCCTGTGACCATAGTAATGAAGGGAATGGAAAGTATGTATGTTAAGTCATGTAAGTGGATTATCTGAAAGCATGGGGAAATTGCTAAGCATAACTATTAAGAAGTTGGTCATATACCAGAGCACACAGAAACATCATTTAAGTTAGTTCACTTTCTTCCTTTTCTTTTTTTTTTTACTGGTTTTATTTATTTATTTATTTGAAAGATACAGAGATAGAGAATACGAGCAGGAAGGAAAGGAAAAAGCAGACTCCTTATGGAGCAACTTGCTCAGTGCAGGGCTTCATCCCAGGACCCCCGGGATTGTGATCTGAGCTGTAGGCAGATGCTTAACCAGCTAAGCTACCCAGGTGCCCCTAAATTGGTTCACTTTCATTTCACTTTTCCTTCATCTCTTTCTCTGCTATTCTTAGATATTTAAAATTAAAGAATTAATATTTCTCTTACCTTATTCTTCTCTGTTTCCTGAAAATTGCCGAATAATATATTGTGTAAAAAAACGATAAATGGGGATAGTATGTGGGAGGAAGGGGAAAATAAATGAAGGGAATTAAGAGGTGCAAACTTCAAGTTATAAAAAGTAGAGCATAGGGAAGGTAGTAATATTTGTAATAAGGTTACAATAACAGATGATGACTACACCTTTTGTGGTGAGCCCTGAGTAATATATAAAATGGTCAAATCAGCATGCTGTATACCTGAAAATAATATAACCTTCAATTTTTAAAAAGGAAAATAATAAAAAGGACCTATAATTTTAGAAAGATCTATTCAATGTAATATTTTATGTTATGTAAGAAATACAATAATTCAATAGGTGCTTCCCTTTTCTCTTCTTTAAATGACTTTTTAGGGGCACCTGGGTGGCTCAGTGGTTTGAGCATCTGCCTTTGGCTCATGATCCTGGGGTCCTGGGATCGAGTCCCACATCATGCTCCCTACAGGGAGCCTGCTTCTCCCTCTGCCTATGTCGCTGCCTCTTTCTGTGTGTCTCATGAATAAATTTTTTAAAATCTCAAAAAAATAAAAAAATAAATGACTTTTTAATTGGGTTGAATATATGAAAATATTGTGGGTTTGTTAGGTATTTCCTGAACTCAGTTTTGTCATGTGGGGCATCTTAAATGTAATGATTATGAGGTAGGCCTGATTTTACATGGTAGCTGCTTAAGAAATGTGTAAAAAATACATTATAGGTCAACTTTGCTTCAATTAAAAAAGAAGTGTATAACAACAAAGATTCTGCTTTAGCATACAGATTTGGGGAGTCCAAGGGAAGCTTAAAGTTGAGTAAATGTTAAAAATACCGATTAACTGCCTTTAATTTGGAATCAATAGAAATTACATAGAAGAATCTTATAATCTGAGGACAATTGATCTTGGGAAACAGTCTGCTGAAAATATTTCACTTCGTAAATAGTAGATGGAGGGAAGGATTTAAATAAGCTGTATTACAATCACTTTTTGAAAAATAAAGCTAAAAACTATTAATGTCTCTTCAATGTAACAAAATTTAAGTTAGAATTATAAATGTTTAAATAAACAAATTATCCTGGTATAATTTTTTTTTCAAAAATTCAGTAATGCTATACAATTTTTCCTTTAAATGTGGCTTATTTTATAATTTGATCTTAAAGAGGGCTACTTCTCTCCTGATATTTAAGTCATTCTCACTCTTTAATTTTTCATCTTCTCATTCTTGTGGACTTGCATTCATTAATTCTAACACAGTCAAATTTTCCTTTATTACTAGCTTCACATAGCAGTGCTCAGCACTGCTTTCATGTATTTTGTGAAATTTATTATCTTTAATATATGAACCATTTCACTTTCCAAATGATTTGTGTTGTATTGACATTGAGTTGTTGGTTATTATACTCAACAATTAGGAAAGGCACAGTGTATATTTTCTGTCATTTAAAAGTACACAGTCTGTTTTCACAAATCTCATTTCCATTATCATCCCAACATGATGTGTCTCCCTGCATACCATAAAGTTGAAAGATTCAGTCTAATTGATTTGGTATTCTTCAGATGTGATTACGATGTCAAAGGAGCAGTCTTCTTACACTGAAATCTTAGCGTTTAAGTCTCTGAACACTTTAAACAGAGGTTGAATACTGAAAAGCAGAATGTTAGGGGCGCCTCAGTGCCTCAGTTGGTTAAGCATCTCCCTCTGCCTTTGGTTCCAGTCGTGATTCCAGCCAGAGTTCTGGGGATAGAGCCCCTGTGGCTGACTCTCTGTTCTGCGGAGAGCCTGCTTAACGCTCTCCTCCCCGCTGGTGCTCTTTCTCTCAAATAAATTAAAAATCTAAAATAAATAAATAAATAAAATGAAATAGAACATTACCAGGGTCTTTGGGAGGGAATAATGGGGAATTAATTACTTATTGAGTACAGAATTTCTGTTCAGGTTGATAAAAAATTTTGGAAATGATGATGTTTATGTAATATTATGAATGTAATGTCACTGAATTATACTCTTAAAAATGCTTTAAGTGGTAAAATTTTTGTTACATATAACCACAACTTAAAAAAAGATTATCCCTTTGATGCTATTATTATTCTGCAAAGCCATTAATTCAGTATTCATAATTTACTTTGCTGGGTACTTTCAGATACTGTCCATTTAAAATTTGACAGATTTTACCTTTGCCTAAGTTATTTATTGGTCTTACATTTGTTTCTCTGTCAGTTTCATATTACATAGGAATTTAAATGTAGTTCACATTTTTGAAAGTTTTTTACTTCTTCCACAGAGAGTGTGGCCTGCTTCTCAGCGAGATGTATTATATCTTTCTGCCATTCGAAAAATACCAGCCTTGACTGAAAATGACCCTGAAACTTGGATAGTGTGTAATTTTTCTGTGGATCATGACAGTGCTCCTGTAAGTGCATTTATATAAATTTGTATAGTTGTACAGTATGAAGCTAAATATACAGTGCAGAACGAAAGTGATAAACACATAGGACACACACAAATACTTGATAACATTTCTTAGACTTTGTTTTCTGTTGAATTGGCTTCTTGGGACATGATAGCCCATGTGTTATCCAAGGACAGCAGTCATGGCTGTGAACACCCACCCAGCAGGGGCTGTTTTCCTTTCCTCCTGAAGTTAGAGGAAACAGAACTGAATGGGTAAATAATGGAAGGCTGCTTTCCACAGTTCCCTCTCCAGCCATGATCAACTGCTAGCAAAACCTCTGTGGTTTCTATCTCAGTTTAGCTCCATCTACTGCTTAAGAGGAGAGAAAAAACATTCCTGATGTCATAACAGCTTGTTTTATTTATTGGTGCTTATAAGATTTGTTGGAGATGTTGATGAGCTGTAGTTTTAGATAACCTAATGTATTAGGCCATTAGGGATTATAAAATGCTAAGCATCTACTGCACTGATGTTTCGTTTCTGTTATTTGTTTTGGCAGCTAAACAATCGATGTGTCCGTGCCAAAATAAATATTGCTATGATTTGTCAAACCTTGGTAAGCCCACCAGAGGGAAACCAGGAGATCAGCAGGGACAACATTCTATGCAAGATTACATATGTAGCTAATGGTATGTATTTTGGGGTTTCTTTTGCTATTTGGGCATGTAGATTTTCATTCAGTCATTCACTATTATTTTAGTGATCTCTACACCCAACATGCGGCAACAACTCCTGACCCCCGAGATCAAGAGACACATGCTCTTCCAACAGAGCCAGCTAGGCACCCCTAGATTTTCTTCTTATAATCTAAAAGCCTTTTTAGTTTTTATCATTTAGATTAGTAATTTTTAATTTGGAGAGATGTGTATTGAAATTATCAGGAAACTTTGAAAATAGTCACGTCTAAATTTGAACCCAGAACTACTCTATCAGATTTTTTTAGGCTGGGGCTAGGTAGATACATTTTAATACTTCCATATCTAGATGACTTTCACATATGCTTGGCTTTACGAACCATCTTACTATAGGGGCGCCTGTGGTTTGGTCAGTTGAGCATCTGCCTTTGGCTTGCATCATGATCCCGGAATCCAAAGATTGAGTCCCGCTTCGGGCTCCCTGCTTGGTGGGGAGTCTGTCTGCTTCTCCTTCTCTGTTTCCCCCTCCCCCTGCTCATCCTCTTTCTCTCACTCTGTCTCTCAAATAAATAAAATCTTAAAAAAAATCTTGTTACATATTTGTCTAATAAAATACATGTATAGTTAGGAATATAAGCAATACTAGTAAAGGAAATGAACAGTTCTGTTTCTCATTGTCAGGCTTTTTTTATTTCCTGGATAATTGCCTGCTTAGGATTCTTCTGACCCATTTCCCACCTACAGTAGTCATTGGAGTCCCTCTAATCAAATCCTCATGCCTTCTTTTTACGGGGACACAACTGCTACGGTGTTGAGTGATGTATTATTTGATTATAGTAAGAGTGACAAATCTATCTTACATAACCTAAAATGTTACTATATTAAGATTTGCTTATAATTTAGGGAGCCAAAGAACATCTCAGATAGGTAATAGGTGCCTTCTTATTTGCTATGTGTTCTTGTGTGGTGGTTAGCATGAAGGAATTAATGGTCAGGATTTTAAGAGATGTTAACTGTTCCAATGTGAGAAATTTTTTAAAAGCAAAGGAACAAAATGAGTGTTTTACATACAAATGGAGAATTGTATCCCAACAGGTTTTAATTTCCCTTTATCTTGCAGTGAACCCTGGAGGATGGGCACCAGCCTCAGTATTAAGGGCAGTGGCAAAGTGAGAGTATCCGAAGTTTCTAAAACGTTTTACATCTTATGTCCAAGAAAAAACTGCAGGAAAACCCATTCTGTTCTAGTGTTAACAGGTACTGGAAGATATATGTTATTCTTTTTTAAAAACTTTGACTAAGGGCAACCCCGGTGGTGCAGTGGTTTAGCGCTGCCTGCAGCCCAGGGCGTGATCCTGGAGACCCTGGATCGAGTCCCACGTCAGGCTCTCTGCATGGAGCTGCTTCTCCCTCTGCCTGTGTCTCTGCCTCTCTCTCTGTGTCTCTATGAATAAATAAATAAAATCTTAAAAAAAAACCTTTGACTAATACGACTCTGCAGAAACTAAAATCTAGTTAATTGTTAGAAGTAGTTTCTGTGTTTTGAGATGTTCCCAGAGTTGTAATTGTAGTTTTTAGCCTTTAAAACATTTTTTTTTCTGCGTATATTAGATGTATTTGCTTATGCAAAGAGATTTTAACATTATGGAGCCATAGAACTCCAGTACAAATTCCCTATTTTTTTCCTTTCCCAGAAATTACTTTAGGTTCGTTGTCTTTTCTTCCATACTTTTGTATGTATGTTGTGAGTGACATATATTCTTAATTATTTTTTAAAAATGTGTTTATTCTCTACTTACTGTTGTACAACTTGCTTTTTCTACCTAACAATATATCTTGACTGTTATTGGATATAAAGATGTGAGACATATAAAACTGTCTCATTCCTTTAGAATTGGTTATATGAATGTTGCAGAATTTATTACCCAGTCCCACAGTAATGTCCCATATTTTGACTGTTGGTGCCATGCTGAACGTCTTTGCACAAAGAGCTGGAATCTTTAGGTTTTTTAAAGAAATGATGTTAACATGGTTCATAAGTCAAAAAGTGTGAAAAGATAAATAGTGAAATTGATCCCTTGCCCCCTACTCACCCAGTTTTGCCCTCCCTCCAGCCCCAAATGAAAGAGTATAACTCCTGTTACTAGTTTGTTGTGTATCTTTCCAGAGAATTTTTTAAGCCTGAATAAGCAAATACAGGTGTATTCCTCCCACGCATACACTTTTGTTGTTGTTCAAAAGACGCTGTTCTGCATCTTGTTTTTCCACTTACTTTAGTTTAAAGGTCTCTGCTTAACAGCATGGACCACCTCCTTATTTTTTTGTGGCTATACAGTATTCATCATATTGATGTACATAATTTAACCAGTCCTCCACTGCTAGGTATTGAAGTCGTTTTCAGTCTTTGCTAGAACAATGTTAATAGTTATATCCACGTGCAAGTTTTATATGGGATAATGTTACTAGATATGACACTGCCAGCACCTCTGGGGGGGTTGTGCATTTGTAATGTAAGTATTGCCCCCCCGAGAGGTCTTATTAACTTAACGTCTCGCTAGCAATAAGACATTTGAGTGCCTGTTTCCCTGTACCCTCTCACACAGTGTATGAAACAGAACGTGGATTGTTCCCACCTTGATAGGCAAAACCACTCTCAGTGTAGTTTTTATTGTATTTCTCTTATTATGAATAGTTTGAACATTTCTTGGTCCATTTGAGAACAATTTGTATAGTTCTGTTTCTATGAACTCTCAATATGTGTCAACATTTAAATTTTTAATAGAGATTACCAAAGTAGAATTCATAAGCCACAAGTATATATGAATGTCCTCTCATTCTTACCTACATGGAATATTAAGTCATTGGCTGAGACATGTATATTTGTGAGTCTCTTTCTTTAGATAAAAGAATATGTTCAATAAGTATATAGTGACATATTATTAACTAATTCTGGTTTCTGATGCTGATTCTGGTTTATAGTATGCCTTTCTTAATAAATTTAGCCTTTGAGGTTTTTTTTAATCAGATGGTAACATAAGAGTTGTTGCAGTGACATGGTAGATATTTAGCTTTTTCCAGAAAAAAGCTCACCTGAAAATGTCAGACAGGCTCTGGTCTTATCTGAACGGTTAGTGTTCTAGGATGCAGCCTGACTTCTGAGAGACTCTCTGCAAGCATAAATGTGTTGGTGATTTCTAGAATACCGTGTACTTTAGAATTGTTATGGCTAGATCTGGACATGAAGTTTGCTGGTCTGTCTCTGCGCTGTTACCTCAAATAAACTAGAAACCTGATGCCACTTGATGGTAGCAGTCTTGTCACCCGACTTAACTGGGTATCTCTCCCCACAGCCTTAAGATTTCTGAAGAATGCTATTTACTCTAATCAAGACCAAGTGTGTAGCTATAATCTGCTTTCTCTCTTCTTCACCTCTACCTTGAGCCTTGCTAACAAGCAGGGCAGAAAATATAACTATGTATTAAGTAAAAGAAATCAAAATGCAGTTATATGTAGAACATGCTCTGAACTATGTTCGAAAAGAAGATTAATTTTCTTAAGCATTTCAGGACGCTGGGTGGCTCAGCAGTTGGGCGTCTGCCTTTGGCTCAGGTTGTGATCCCGGGGTCCTGGGATCGAGTCCCATGTCCAGTTCCCTGCATGGAGTCTGCCTCTCTCTCTGTGTGTGTGTCTCTCATGAATAAATAAATAAAATCTTTAAGAAAAACTTTTCGGGCTGCCCGGGTGGTGCAGCGGTTTAGCGCCGCCTTCAGCCCAGGGCGTGATCCTGGAGACCTGGTATCGAGTCCCACATCGGGCTCCCTGCATGGAGCCTGCTTCTCCCTCTGTCTGTGTCTCTGCCTTTCTCTCTCTCTCTGTCTCTCATGAATAAATAAATAAAATCTTTAAAAAAATTTAAAAAATAAAACTTAAGCATTTGAAAAATACATACTAATATTATTAACACTTGCCTCAGGAGCTATTGGATTTGGGGGCTTGTTTTTATTGACCTGTTTGTGTGTATGTCTGTGTGTGCATCTGCGTACATGTGCACACAGTACCTGGAGAGCTGGGATTGAAATTCATCTCAGAGGAAAGAGGAAGCATTGTTTTTAGGCGTCTGTGTATGTATGTAAAGACAGACCTGAAAAGATTCCCTGGCCAAAACTCAGCTCTGGCCTTCAGTCCAGTTGAGCTGCTTTCTGACAAAGAACCAGATTCAAACCCTAACACATGGTGAAAAAAATCATTGTTTACCTGATGTAATACTTGTTTCATAATGTTTGGGAAGAGGTATGTATGAAGTGGATCCTAGCATTAAAAGCTTAGGAAAGCTATCCTTTCTAATTTTGGTGATGAAAAAATAGTAGCTTTCAATAGTGTTTATCATCCTCAGCGAAATTCCATGAAGAGTGAATGAGAAAAAAAAAAAAAGAAGAGTGAATGAGGTCTAAAGATACTTAAAACTCACAGAACTCTTTTTTTTTTTTAAGAGAGAACTGGGTGGGGAAGGAGAGAGAGAATCATAACTAAGCAGGCTCCATGCTCAGTGCAGAGACCGATACAGGGCTTGACCTGATGACAAAATCAAAAGTCAGACACGTAACCAACTGAGCCACCAAAGTGCCCCTCATAGTCAGAACTCTTAAATTCATGTGACAATGTCTGAGTATGTTTGTTCCTAGAGCTTAAATACAACTTGTGAATTCTTGATAAATGGTATTGAATAATTTTTATTGAAGACCAAGAAGAAAGAGATTTTGGCTTTAGGGGTATAAATCCAGAGACCTCTAGTTTATTCTCTCCTTGCTTATCTATGACGTATTTCCCTTTTTTTCTAGCTTTCAAAACATTCCTTATGTCTTCTATTCCTTGCTAAGTTTCAAGTATGTAAGGTTTATAATTTTCTGGGTTTTTTTATTTTTTATTTTTTTTAATTTTTTTATTTATTTATGATAGAGAGAGAGAGAGGCAGAGACATAGGCAGAGGGAGAAGCAGGCTCCATGCACCGGGAGCCCGACGTGGGATTCGATCCCGGGTCTCCAGGATCGCGCCCTGGGCCAAAGGCAGGAGCCAAACCGCTGCACCACCCAGGGATCCCTAATTTTCTGTTTTTGAAAGTGAAAATCTTGAAAGCATACAGTTTTAAGAGAGATCTATGCATTCTATGAATTCAGAGGGTAGGAGGAACCTGTTTGGGTAGTCTTACAGCCGTTAGTAATAATATATTGCTTAATTTTTTACTTATTTTCTTTCCTGCAGTGACTGAAGCAAGGCTGTGTGACATTCCGTGTTGGAAGAAAAAATAAAAAACAAAATTGAATGCTCTAAGCTGGAACATAGGATCTATATAGCCTTGTCTGTGGCCCAACACCCTGGCCTTGTGTACAAAAATGAAGAAATATTGCAATAGCAAAGGTGAACATCTAACACTAGCTGTCTCCTGCTAGATCTCCTCGCTCAGCATATAACTATAAACACATGTAAAAATTACATGTATATGGCTATATTTTTATTTGCTTGCTCCTAGAAGAGAAAAAAAATCAACTTTGAATCACAACTAGGAATTGATGCTTTAATTTTTGGGAACTTTTTCAGAATTTTTAATTTACTATGGTCCAGCCTAAGATCCTCATTTGTATCAGGTTTTGTGCACAAAAGAAAAGCACAAAAGTTGAATGCATATGGGGCATGTGCTTTCTGTGCACCAAATATCTGGATGGGGCTCTTTTTTCAGGCCTGTGGTTAAATATGTGTTCAGAATTTTTTGACTTTTTTGCTTTGTATAATCCTAGAATTCATTGCTGCTGATTTCTATAATGATTCATGTTGTCCCGTGTCTTAATAACTGAGGGCTGTCAATAACCTGTGATTTTGCCTTTTCTATAGTCTTACTCCTATGAAGAACCTTGGTTCTGACGGGGAAAGAATGAAAAGCTTTATTTTTTCCCCCAGGTATCTTTATGTTTCTATTGTATTTTTAGTTGTATACTGTGTGCTACAGATTTTTTTTCAGTTTGTTTCCAAACAGTTTGGTAATTCCTAAATTGGTTCTGCTTGCCTCCAAACAGAAATATAAAAATCTTGTGGGTATAAACTACTTTCTGGTACAGTGATAAGGATAAAACGAGCTCATGTTTTCTTGAAATTTGTAAGAGGATATATGGTATTGTTACAGCAAATCAGGCTGTTTTGATTTGACATTTGATTCAGTGTGTCTGGTATTCGTAACAGGCATGTTTGTTGCTTCTTCTGATTTGGGTCCGTTTCAAGGCTATGTTGCAAGATATGCTTAGAAAACGTGAGCAGTGCTCCTGTTTGCCTCTTTGCTCAGAATTTTCAGCGGAGCAGTAAAGGATTCCATGTGATTCAAACTGAAATTCTTTCCTTAGTTGCTATAAGAACTTAAATGTAAAATACCTTCTTTAGTTTTAGGCCTCTGTGAAAAACCTTGAAGCATGGAGTTGAGGCAAGGAATGGTACTCACTGAAGTAGAAATGACTGCCCACTTCACAGTCTTCATTCTGTTTATACACAAATGTGCTTACATCAGTCAGAGGCATTTTGTGGATGCTTTGCTGACTTGTTCATCTCTGTAGAAACACAGAAATGAGACCCATTTTGTAAAGCAGAAAGTCATATCACTTGGAACGTGTCCTGTATATATTTCGTACATGGTAATGGAGTCTTAATGATGAATGCAAGGTGATAATTTAATGATGGGATTAGTCTGGTCACTTAATATGCACAATCCTGGAAGTGAATTACTTGCATCAGATATAGTGGTATTTATTATTCTGTACAGAGAGAAAAATACATATAAAACATAGGCTAATATTACATGCACGCAGATTTCATGCTCCATAAATCTTTTCTATTTTTTAATTTACCTTTCTCTAAATGATGTGTATGGAATATGCCTTATTACAGAAAAACGCTGTTCATAATTTGTGTGTGGAAAAGTGCCTATATGGTGGTAATGCTAGTAAGGCAAATAAGACAAATTATCGTATGAGTTTACGACATCACCAGTTAGCATTTTATATTGTGATGTTTAAAAAAGAAAAGTTTATACCTCAAATGTGTATTTTATTTTACAATCAGCTGTGGGGTTGGGATGGGAGTGTGGGAGGGTTGGGGGGCGGGAAGGTTTATTCGCCATAGCCGCTGATGGGAATCTTCAAAAAAATTCTCTATGCCCAGTATAAATGTTTCTCTGTTTGCCATGTCTGGTAACTATCATGAACAGGAACAAGTAACTCTCTCATAACTAAATTGGAGAGCTAGCTTCATTTTCAAGGTATGGAAGGCTCACAAAGCAGTGTCTAAATCTAATTACCATTAGTTGCATTTGCACTAAATGTTAATGATACACTTTTGCAATTCTGTAAATGAAATGATCACACTAAAAATATTTGTATTAAAAAAAGAATAAAAAGATACATTTACCTTTAGATAATTGTACAGGTACTTCACTAGAGTTAATCCCATCGGATCAGATTTAGAAATAGGGAATACAAAAAAAGTTCTAAGAGGTCAAAAGTTGGAGAGGTACTAGCCATTTTAAACAATATTCGGCCCCACTAGAATTATTTCTCTATGACTAATTGTTAGTGTCTGAATAGACATGTTTTCCCATCTAATTTCTTACTTCCCTTCCCAAAAGCAAAAAATTACCTTTTTATTCTCTTTTCTACTCACTCTTTTGTACTGTGATAGAAACTTGAAAAATATTGGTAATGATGGGTTTTGTCCCTGAATGCCCGCTGTACAAGGACAAGAGAGCACAGTGATTCACTTGGAATTCAGGACTGCTGATTCTGAGGCAGAGGGTGGTCGCAGCAGCTCTTGGTTTGGGATTGCCACAAAGACCTCCAGACCAAGGAGGGGATGGCTGGGAGAAGGCGTAAGAACACAGGATAAGGAAGACGAGCAGCAGGTTTTCCACTCGTTCAGTGTCATAGGCTGATTTGTACACCTACACAGCATCAGTGTCAGCTGCTATTAAGAAAATTTTAGTTGGGCTGAGCTGGTTCTCTTGTGAAAATGTGCCCGTTATCTTTAAGCTTATCAATTGTTTGTCCAGTTAAACACTTTTACCAGTATTTAGTCCGAGTTGTACAGACAATGTATTTGGATTACCGTCATTGTTCATCTACAGACTCAAAACATAATCATTTTAAAGTACCTTGGGAGTGTGTAGAGTGTAACTATTCTATAATAGCTTTATGATCCTGATGATGTTTTTAAAAAATAATAAAGTTGGATCTTCCATGTTACAATCACAAAATTAAAACCAGTATTTAAAAGTGGAAAAGTATTAAAATATTATGGACAAATATACTTGTTTGATTGTTTTCCTTAACCCCAAAATGCTGCCTGATAATTCTGGGTAAGTTAAGAACTTACCTCGACTTCAATAGTTATTAAACTGGGTTATTTATAATCCAGTTAGGGATCAAGAAATCCATGTAAAAAAATTTTTTTTAGTCAATATAGAACAGAGTGGAATAGATTGTGTATATTTTTGTATTTTGTGAATCCTTCGTATGTGTGTTTGTGTGTGTGTGTGTGTGTGTGTGTGTGGTGGGTCACGGTGTGAAATAAAATTCTTACTGCGGAAGCTGGTCCAGAGGTTTTTGAAATTGCTAGAAAGTAAAGGCCTATGCAGTTGGGTATTTCTAGTGAAAGTACAGTGCGAGTCATGCCCTTACAACTCAACTACGCGTACTTCCCCTTAAATAAATCCCCACTTATTTATCTAAATGATGCAGCTCCACTTATCACACCCGGGGAGTGTGTGTTCTCCAGCGGCCGCAAGCCGGCCGTGGGGCTTTGCGGGGCGCCGGGCCCCGGGGCAGGCCCTGAGGCTGCTGCGGCTTCGGGACACGCTGGGCTCGGCTGCGGGGCTGGACGCGAGGCCTCGCTGCCCGTCGTCCCCCGGGAGCCCTTGGAGCCCTGGGCCCTGCGCTGTTGCCTCCGGCTTGGCCTGAGCTGCAACCCGCAACGACGTGTCCTTCGAACCAGCTTATTTCGAGCCGAGTTGGCTTCGTGGCATCTTCTTGACTTGGCCGCTGTTTGAACTAGACGACGGGACCTGTCGGCGTGGGCGCTGTTACCATTTAAAAGCGCCCTTTCCGCGAGCCTGCCTCGGGGGCGGGGGGCGGGCCTGGTCCCAACGGGGACGCTTCCCGGGCCGGCACCAGGACCCCCCACGCCCCGATCCGCCCGCCCATGGCCAGCAGGTGCGCCGCCCGGCTGCCCACGGACTCCCCGCCCCACGCGGGACCGTCCGCTCCGCAGGCCCGCGCCCCTCGGGGGCCGTCGGCAGCTCCGCGGGGCCACCGCGAGCACGGGGCGGGGGACGCGGCCCCGCAAAGGCGGCCCCGAGCTGCCCACGGACACAGCGCGGGGCTCCGGCCACGCCGCCGCCGGGCCCGGGGTCCGCAGTGTCCTGGGCGCTCCTGCGTCGGGCAACGAGGCCGCACAGCAGGTGCACGCGGGCCGCTCGCCGGGGACACGGGGGACCGAGCCCCAAGGGGACGCAGGTGGGGCCCGGGGCTGAGCCGGCGCGTCCCGGCCGCTCCTCGGGGCCCCACGACCCCCCCGACCCCGGTCCCCGGCCGCCCTCCTCGTCCTCGGGCCCCCCCTTACCGTACGGCCCCCGGGCCCCCGAGGTCGTCGGGGGAGGCGCTCCCAAGGGCCCGCGGACCCCGTCCAGCCCCGAGGACGCTGCGGGCGACACGCACCAGGACACGAGGACCCGCAGCCTTTGACCTGAGGATTTCCATCACCTCCGCCCACCCGGGGCCCACCCGCCCCGCCGCCCCGCCGCCCAGAGGCTTCGGGCCTGGACCCGGGCTCACGCCGGGCGCGGGAGCTGCGAGGGGCGCCCCGCTGGGTCCCGCGCTCTAACACGAAGCCGGGTGGAGGCAGAGCGGAGGGCCGGCGGCCGGGCCCCCCACGGCTCCCCCACCAGAACCCAGGGCCCTCGCCTGAGCACTCCTGCTCCGGAGCTGCAACCCCAAACCCTGAGAAGTCCAGCTACAAAGTCACACTTTGAGGCGACAAGGTCACAGAGGGGAGGTGAGTGAGTGGAAACAGGTTTGCCTACCCCTCTCCCTCCCCCTTTACTGGCCCTTTGGGAGGGGCAAGGAGCGACCAGGGGGGCAGGAGAGGGAGGGGACCAGAAGGCTACAGAAGTGGAGCCTTTACTTGGGGGGTGGGGGTGTCACCCACTCCAAACGTGCTTTCTAGTCGGTTAGTTACACTAACTAGTTCACAATCTCTACGATGAGTTCTAGTTCCATCTTATTAGGGGCAGCGGGCCGGCCCAAGGGGCCTTCCAGGGCTGTGCAGTGAAGAGACCCCACTCCCACCCTTGCAGGAATGCCAGGCACCTCCCCCCGAAACCGTTAGAGCAGGTGCAGCAGCAAGACAATCGCTCAAGTCCTGGCCCAGCGCAGAGCAAGGGAATCGAAAGCCTGGGGCCCAC